GTAAATAATCCTTTGTTTCACGAATTCGTTAAACTGATGTATAACGCTGGTAACAATGTAAGTAAAAGAATTCCAGATGAAAGATAAAAATTGCTTAATATTGTTATCCAAGTATGTATATATTTATAAAAACTTTGATTATTAAAATTGTCAAATAAAATTATTACAACCTAGAATAGGGGAAATACTCTGAGATGCAACTTGAAATAGCCGTGAAATCAAAAGCGGAAATGATATTCGAATGATTACGTTGAACGTCGACCGAGTGAGACAGCCATCGGTGTTAAGAGAATAAAGAATCAAGAGAGTAAGGGAATAATTTTGCACGAATATTCATATAATTCAGCGAATAAAGATTTTAAAAATTTATAGCGGAACATACGTGCGAAGAGGTCACTAAAATTTGATATAAAGCAAAAACCAAATAGACCGCTCTCGTAAAATTATTTTTATATTGAAGAAGCGACCTTATCACACACATCAAGGATCACAATGGCACGGTAAAAGTTTCTAAAGACTATTTTATTATTCGCGATGTTGCAAAACGAAGATTATCTTTGTGATTTCGGAAAGTAATTCTTAACCCAAGGTTCTCATTTTTTAATCTTTCTGTGTTAAATACACGTCGATTTACACTCATTGTTAATTACAGATAATAATTCATTTTTATTATTAATTTCATCGACAGAAAATTCATTATTAGTCAACATTACGTATTTCAATAATATACGAGAAGTATAATTTTGTTGAAATATTACTTATGTTGAAACGTATTTAAAAATTAAGGTAGGTACACAGATCTAAAAGTAATTATGTGGGAAATTCAAGTATGATGATCAATGCTGCAAAAAGTTTTAACATTCTAGCAACTAGTTTGAGCATTCTAGGTAATTATTTTGACAGTTTACAATTATTTTGAAATCTGTAGCTGCAGTGAGTGCAAAAATATTCGTACAGAGAATATTTTTATAAAAAAGCTTTATCTGTAGAGAATAAATATTAATTGGAAATTTTATATAGTAGGTAGATTTTGTCCTAATATAAACAAACGAGATTCGTGTTCATGATCTTAGAAATTAAATAATAAGACTTTTCATTTTCGCTCTTGTCTTTAAGATAACATTTGATTTAATTATTACATTTCTTTTTAGGTAAAATAATTTTGAGTATACAATTAATTTTTTCCCTGTTACTATAAAGTGCTAATTAATGTACACGAATACTCTTTGCATTTGCTGTAGCTAAATTTTTAGATACTTCAACAAACTCATTCTTTCCGTGTGTGTTTTATTTTTGCCACTGATGAAACAGATTTTGGACTCTTATAGAGCGTAGCAATTTAAGTAAAAAATCGTGACTAAAAGTTTTACAATGTGAAGCCATTAAAGTATAATACGATGTGAAGCAGGGACAACAATGTTTCGCTGGCAATTAGAGTATCGATCGCTCCGCGAGAACGGAGTAATTTCCGTTTTCAGGGAAACACGTTGCGTATTATCACAAAGAAAACTGGAGTTAAATGTGGATCACAATCATTCTCGCTTACCTCCCTGAATATTATGAATCATTATGCACCTGGATCGATTACGGACACGGACAAAGCGTACGTGCTCCACCGCGTGATTGGAATGAATTGCAAATGAAAAGTAAGATCTTTTCCAGGAAATCAAAGCATCTATATCACAGTCTGATGTATTATTTAATTATTAATTATATTTATATGCACGGTAGTTTTCAATAATTGTGTGTGTGCTGCCTTCCTCTAAACGATTCTTCCTTGAAATCGCGATAGGCTTGAATAATTTCGCTTAACGTGGCAGACTTAGAGAAATTAATAAATCAAATCACTAAGAAAAAGGCCAAATACAGTCTGGATTAAACATTAATGTCTAATAATATTTATATGTCGATACATTTACCAGCTGCATAAACGTCGCTATACGCGCCGTTTATTGTTAGGATTTGAAACTTGAAATGCAATTATAAACTCGAGCTGAAGTAATAACAACGCCAAATTGCATTCGACAAGCAATCCAATAACGCTAACGAACATCTTTAAAGCACAGTAAAAAATTTCTATTATGAGAAACGTCACCTCAGCCAGGATTCGAGAAATTAAATTCAATCCTCGAAAAGGTCAAAGTGGAGGCAAGTTTAAAAAACTGCGTAAGTTAATCGTCGGCCAGAAAATTTCGGCGGACAGGCGAAATTAGCGATGCAGAGAGATCGGTCGATCGACGTAGAATCTCTCGCGCGGGATCGTCCTTTATCCTCGCAGAAGAGCCCGTCCTTCGCAACTGCAAAACGCAAACACGCCCGATGATATCAGCGTCTCTTAATCACCGCTGCGCTCTTAATCATCGACGATCGGCTGCGTACGGCGAAGTGACTCGCACGAAGAATCGCCGCGGCGGAGCGGCAGCTGCTCCGGATTTTGTTACCTGCGACGGTGGCAGGGCCAGGTGCACTGTCACCGCGCGCGCGGATCACCTGACGGTGCCGATAACGTGACCGACGCGCGCGACCGGTGGCTCTCCGGAGGTAAGCGGAATGACCGCACTGCACGCCGTCCCGACGCCGACTGACGCGTCGTCCCGGCGAACTCGAGGATGCACTGACCATGCCGTCACGCTACGGCGTCGACCGCGGCAGGAACGTACCGTGTGGGCACCGAGGTAGACGGAAAGGTAGCGAGAGAGGCTCAAACGATCGATTTCGAAGCCGGTCTATGTTAATCCTCCCCCCCCCCCTCTTCCTCCGTCGCCCGAAAAAAAAGGCTGGTAGCTGCTGCCAAATGTGGAGTGAAATAATTTCGATCAAATGTCTCGATTTATATATAATATAAACAAAAATAATTTTACTTTTAGAAATGTTTAGGAAGTACTACCGGACTTAATAGCACGATGAATCGTTTGGTGATAATTATTAAATATTTCGAAAAATTAGATCAGATTGAAATTCCACTCGATATTTGGTAGGACATAATAACTTAACCAACTGTTCGATGATAATTATTGAATATTTAGAAGAGTAAATTATTGTTCATACAATATTATATATATAGTTATTATCAAATTCTTTTTTCATTTTGGAGTATAAACAGCTTCAAAATTGGAGTCGCAATCATAAAATAGGAGAAGTTAATTTATAAAAATTAATAGATTTATTTATTTATTTAATTTTTCTGTTTTTTTTTTAACATAAAATGAGACAATTTGATATAAAATATAAAATATTAAATTAAATGTTAAAAAATAGAATGCAAAAAAAAAGAAGTTATCTAATTTATATAACAAACTGTGTGGTTTCAATTGTTTATTTAATAACGTGGCATTCTAATGAAGATTTTCACTGCAAGATAATTCGCACCACCGCGTTTCTTTACAACGAACTCTAAAGAATCTGAGGGAAATTCAAATTTCCGTTGTAAATTAATTTATATTTAGTAAATTAATTTATTTATCTAACATTTCTGTTTTCATTAAATATAAAAAGTAAACCAATTAGTTAATTTAACATAAAACGTTCGAAAAAGAAAGAAAGAAAGCTAGATCTATCTAATTTATTTAGCAAACTATACCGTTTTGATTTATTTACTACTATTTACTTATTCATTTATTTACTACTTTAGCTTAATAAAGGTTTTCACTCGCGAAATAATTTATACAATTGTGTCCCTTTATGAATAAATTCTGGAGAATCGGAGGAAAATCAAAGTTTCCGTTACAGATGAATGAATTTAACATTGAAATTATTATTAATAACACTTGTGGAAGATTCTATATGGATGAAGGATATAAAATATCAGAACTAAAGTTTTTTTCAAATAGCATTTACAAGATGTACCGCACATGACATGCGCACACATGCGTGACCTCCGCAGGCCTTCAACTATCCGAGGCACCTTCAACGCTTTCTACACATAATCCTAGAAATATCTTCCGCAGTTATGCGTAATCGTACAGTTTGATTTGAAGGTAATCGCGAATTTTCGTTCGATTTGTCAATATTATTTTGAGTAAAGCGAATGTGAATGTAGCTGATAAAAAAATTGTATAAATATGACTGTAAAATAAAATACTTTTACTACCATCTTTGTTGAGAAATGAAATGGTTTAACTAATGATCATAAATTGTTGTGCTGTCGTTATTAAAGACAAATTAAAATTAATGATTTGAGATTCTATTATCTTCACGTTTTATCGTTGAATAATATCCCTCTTTTTTGTCTTTAATGTTTCTTTCATCATGACTATTTTTCATCAATTATTGAAAGCAAGTAGGGGCTGCGTTACTTTCCTATACGAGAATGGCAGACTCCTTCATCCCCATAAAACAGTCTGAGTCATCAAAGCCTTCCCACGTGTACTACTCCGAGAGACAGCAGTGTTGTAAGGGTGGCGAAACAACCCTCAGACGGGTGATGTGAAGTTAAACTGTAGGGAACGGTCGTCAGATGCGTCTACCAGCTGCTTTCTCCAGCATCTTTCAATAAAAAGTTACGGGCGTATCCAGAAAAGGTAAATTGCCAGCTCAAATCGCGATGCAAATTTCTGCTGCGGTAAATAAAAATTCAATATTATCCCAACAATTTTATTCGATAATTAAAATTTTATTTCTACTCTAACGTATTTTTTAAAAATTCCAAACAAGTCTAAAGCAATTTAAATAAAATCGTTAAAATAATTTGAAAATAATCTAAAAATAAATTATTTAATTATTTTTAATAATATATAAAATATAAAATACACAGATTGTTTCTACAAAAATTTATATGTTAAAAACTTTTCAATTTTTACTCATTTCTGTTTTTAAATTTATATTATAACTTTATATTACAATAATAATTTAATTTTAATCCACAAGAAAGAAATAGAATTATCCTCTCTTTCCCTTTATTATATTTTCTGCAAAATATTTAAATTATGTGTTTTTAATTGGACCCAGTTCTAGATTCAGCCCTGTTGAAGCTAAGCGCCGCGATCGCATTTTTCATCGACTCGCTCTTAAGGAAATAATTCGCTCGCGGTCTTCAATCACCGCGACAAAATATCTTGATCGTACAAATGCATGAGTATCTTCTTAGGCATGACCGTATATTTCCAACGAAGCTCCCCGTATTGAACTTGAACTGGCAGTAACGATCGCCAGTTAATACCTTATTACGTCGTTTGTTATCTGATGACACGATGCATTCGTGACGCGCTCCTGGCGAAAGGAACGTCATGTGAGTGACGCAGTTCGCCCACCGTTAATTACGTCACGACGACGTCATCGTTATCGTGGGACGAGGCCAGAGAATCGATATGCGTTCAAAAAACTCGGTTAATTTTGTAGTTAATGCCGGAACTGTTGATTCGAAGCGGTTATCGCAAAACGAGCATGAGTCACCTTACATTACATCACAAAACGTACACATGGAAAAAAATTAGCTCTAATATCGTATTCGTATTTTTATAACAATGTTTAAAAATGTTTTCGTACCAATTGGAGAGTTCTATTAATTTTATAATTAATTTAAAAAAGTACGTACGTAATTTCTCGTAATTTAACATTTTTAATAATTTTAAAATGACCTAATATTAAGTAATTTTAATATCGATGGATAATATTAAAATTATTTTCATAAAGTTAATTTTAATAATTATATTAATAATTTTTTTAAATAACAAATTTCAACTTTAATTTAATAAAATTCCAACATTGTTTGCTTTTAAAACCACAACTTTGCTTGTTTTTGAGTTTAAGAAAGTTATGCTTGAGGAAAGAAGAACGTTAGAATTAATCTCGCAGAACTGTAAAGTAATGGAAGGATGACTTTTTGCCAGATGTCATTTGAGCAGCTGGTCGATCGAGTCATTTACTTTCGTCGTATCTACTTACGAGTACAGGTTCGAGAGGAGCCACGAGTCCGGCAAAAATTTCGCCTTCGGCGAAACGACGTTCGTTAACCTCCGTATTGGCGAGGCATTTATTTTTCTCTTCCTTCTAGAAAGCGTCTTTCGAGCGGGAACTATCATCAAGCCGAAGAAATTCTAAACTCATAGTCGAGCAGCTCGAGAATGGACAATTTACATATCCTTACAAATAGCCGCCGAAACCACTTCGCCGACCAGAATATTTTTTTCAACGTATTTCACACTCGCAAAATGTAAAAAAATGCAAACCGCCAATGTTTTGGCGTACAAAAGTAGACAATTAATGTGAGAGAGAGAGAGAGAGAGAGAGAAAATAATTAAAAGAATTATTTTATAGTAATTAATTAATTATTTATATTAAAATTATAAATGAAAATCGATAACGATTGTTTAAATAATGTCATTTTGATAGCATATTTATTTTAATTCCTTTTGTAGCTATTTAAAGTTAATTAAATTTTTTAGGAACTTTAAGAAAAAAATTGTTACTATAATTTTAGTATCATTGGAATCATTTAAAATTATAAATATTACCGATTAAATTTAGAATATTAAATTTAGAATATACAATAATATTGCATATTTAATGTTAGGAGGAACAGAGTTAACAAAAGCATGATATACACTTAAGATTTTGGTCTAAAAATGATAAGAAGATGATAAAATAATCATTTTTTAATGAAAAAAAAATCACCAACATTTTTCAAAACGATAAATTAATTTTTCTATACCACTAAAAATATTCTGTATTTTTTAAATTTTTTGTATTTTTATTTTTAATTCTACAAAGATCAACTTTTTCATCATCAATCTTTCCAACGCGAATTAGACTGTAATTTAAAAAATTATTGTTCAATTTTTATTTTAAAAAATTTTAAATATTTTTAGTAGTAAATATAAAAAAATTAGTCCATTGTTCTAAAAAAATGTTTTGAAATGAAAAGTGATTGTACTGGAAAATATAAAAATGTTTTATTTTATCATTTTTCTTTATTCTTGAATCGGAAATTTTTGGACGAAAATGTCAATGTAGGCAAGAATTACTTTATCGTGATTATTATACGAAAAAAACAATTTTGTTGAAAAATCTAAAATCTTTTTGGATGCAGATCTGAAAATAATTTTGGTGTACCTAAAATAATTTTGTTGACAAACTAATTGCTAGAATATCAGATTTTTTTTGCAGCATTGCTCATCACTTTTCAGCTTCCAATATAATTATTATGTAATTTTGATGGTCTAACAAAATGATTTTCGGATCTGTATCTGAATATCATGTAAAATTTTAAATCTTTGAACAAAAGTTCGTTTTTTCTATGTTATTAAATTCCGGATTCAGCCTTATTGTTTGCACATATATGTATATTTTTATTTGTGTCTATCAATGAGTGTGTGTCGTACAAATAGAGGTGAATTTTCTCTACTTTCACGCGATAACGAACGCTTCGAGCACGTGCTTCGCCAGTGGTAATCAACTTACGCATTCTCAAGTCTCGTTATCGAACAGTGCTAACTCGATTCTACTGCTCCAATTTTAATCGATAAGCGAACTCAACTTGAATGTCGAAGTTAGCTTAATTTAATGTAGCAAGCATTAACGAATATTAAAGATCGACAGTGAACTCGACGATCAATTGAAACTATACGTAT